ACAGCTGTTCATCGGAGCGTCGGTGCCACGCTGTTATCGGCACCTTAGAGAGCCCGAAAAGCTCTCAATCGACCGGCTAGGAGCACGCCTGCCGGGCAGGGGGTCCCAGATGTTCAAACGACCCCCCCGGAGACCCTCGCAAGCCAAGACCCCATCTCTATCACAGCGAGCCTAGAGCCGGGTCGCCATCTTGACGCATGCGTAAAGAGAAAATCTTATACTACTGTGGGCAAGAATCCCTCAGAAGAAATGGAGTAGTTTTCATAGTCAATAAAAGTAGGAAAAGCAATACTGGGATACAATCCCCAAAATGACAGAATGATCTCAGTTCAAATCTAAGGCAAACCATTCAACATCACAATAATCTAAGTCTATGCCCCAACCACTGGTGCTGAAGAGGGTGAAACTGACTGGTTCTATGAAGCCCTACAGCACTTTATAGAATTAACACCAAAAAACGATGTCCTCATCATTATGGGGGATTGGAATGCTAAAGTAGGAAGCCAAAAGATAACTAGAATAGCAGGCAAGTTTGGCCTTGGAGTACAAAATGAAGCAGGGCACAGGCTGATAGAATTCTGTCAAAATAATACGATGGTCATAGCAAACACTCTTTTCCAACAACCCAAGAAACTTCTGGGCATGCACGCGAGTGGCCCCATTGTGAACCGGTACTAAAGGTAAGTAGAACCCACCCCTGCCACGTAGTGTACCTACACAACCTACACATGAATGAAAAGCAGAAGCAAAGTAAGTCAATATTAGTTTTTCTTAAGAAATGAAGGCTATACTATATAGTGATTTAAATTGTATGAATATACCTTACACTTTATTTCCTCATTTTTAGCTTGTCCTAGCTTTTTTATCTTGGACCATATAATGTGCTAAGATATATTTGTCTTTGCTTATAACATAAATTGCTTAATATGTAACCTGCAACCGTGTCCAATTTGCACAGGAAAGCTTTTAATGCACGAATGAAGGCAAATATACAGTACATGTCCCAAGATAATCTTGCAGGATTCAATCTGGGTCGATCACTGGGACCAGAGGTTTAGTCTTCTGAGCTTTCAGACTTGTGCTGGAATTCATCCTCAAGGAACTTCTCTCTAGCAGAGGGTATACCCTCTTTTGGATATTCTATGCATGATATTTATGTGGTGACTGGTTTATTGTGGTTTATTATTGGTTGATTGAGGTGCTGATGGCTATTAAGTCATTGGCTGTTGTTTCCTTGTGCTGCCATGTCCTTGGCTCCTAAGTACCTGATAAGCTGATGGTAAATCAGCATTCTTGTTGATTGACAAGGGGCCCATTTCACAGGCTTCAATCATTTCCCTGGCTATCTTTGTGCCTGCATTGCCAACAATCTTTGTTGTTGTTAGTTGCGAAGTCATGTCCAACCCATCGCAACCCCATGGACAACATTCCTCCAGGCCTTCCTGTCCTCTACCATCTTTTGGAGTCCATTTAAGCTCACGCCGACTGCTTCAGTGACTCCATCCAGCCACCTCATTCTCTGTTTTCCCCTTCTTCTTTCGCCCTCAATCGTTCCCAGCATTAGGCTCTTCTCCAGTGAGTCCTTCCTTCTCATTAGGTGGCCCGAGTATTTGAGTTTCATCTTCAGGATCTGGCCTTCTAAAGAGCAGTCAGGGTTGATCTCCTCTAAGACTGACTGGTTTGATTGCCTTGCAATCCAAGGGACTCGCAGGAGTCTTCTCCAGCACCAGAGTTCAAAGGCCTCAATTCTTTGGCGCTCAGCCTTTCTTATGGTCCAACTTTCACAGCCGTACATTGCAACTGAAAAAAATATAGCCTTGACTATAAGCACTTTTGTTGGCAGGGTGATGTCTCTGCTTTTTAGTATGCTGTCTAGATTTGCCATAGCTTTCCTCCCCAGGATCAAGCGTCTTTTAATTTCTTGGCTGCAGTCCCCATCTGCGGTGATCTTGGAGCCCAGGAAAATAAAATCTGTCACTACCTCTATTTCTTCCCCATCTCTTTGCCAGGAATCTTAGTAGCTGCAAAATTGAATGTATCTCCTTGTTCATTGCAATGTGAGGCTACCACTGAGTTTGGATCTCCTTGTCTGACCACTCACTTGTGTTCTTGCAATTTGGTGGTTAGCTTCTTCCCTGTCTGTCCTACACAGTCACAGAGGCAATCCATGCAAGGAGATCTGGTAGATTTCATTATAAGTATTTCTAACCTCCAAGCAATCTTTGCAATTTATGATTTGTCCTCAACCCAGATTGAGCCTTTTTTTACACTTCACTCTCAGACCTTGTCACACAACACAAAAACATTGAGATGAAAAATTGGAGCACTAGTATGATTTTGTTTTTATCTCTTGCACAATTTAGTCTTCATGTGTTACTTTAAAAAAGAACCTTAAAGAGAGCAATATCTATGTTTTATGTCTTGAACATGTCCAATGTTTTCTTCAAATGGTGAGAAAGTGCTGTAGAAAGCCATTAAACTAAAATTCTGTTTTCCCAATGCGTACTGAGCCTGTGGGATTGCAAAAGGAAAACTAGCAACTATACCCCGTCAATTAATCTAAAACATAGAATAGACTCAACCCACAATGGTTTCGATATGCTTGATTCCTTTTAATACAGTGTAAACCTATAATGTGTAGTCTCTATTCTTCATTAGGTTATAAATACAAAAATGCAAGTTTTTTGTCCCAAAGATTTCCTGCTTTAATATCCCATTACCTATAAGTTAAGTCTATTTCATATGAACTTTTTTATTAGACCTTCTCTGGAAAACAAAAGAATCTGAGAGCTTAAACAAGGCTTGTCATCACCATGTGTACACTATCTCTAGCTAGACTGATTTTTTTCCCCCTTGTGTAACTGATCTTGGTTATTCCATATGTTGATGTACTTTTAAGTAATAATTATGGAAAGGATATTTCATGTATAGGTCAAGGTTGAAGAATGATTGTGTGTGTATCCATCTGACACACTCGGTATGTGTAATTGCCCATGTAATGATCACAGATATGAATGTATTTGTTTAAAACAGGCAGTCTAAAATACAACAACTGTTAGATAACATGTGCTCAAAACTGTAAATAAAAGAGAAGAGAAAAGAAGGGTAAGGAATTATGAATTGTGAACTGATAGATAAAATCAAAGGACAAACAATAATGAAAGGATGTCCAATGAGTTTGGACCAATGGACTGTTTCAGGATTTGAAATGCTGATACTAAGTAATTATCTGTCTCTTCCCTTTTGACACTAGTCCTGTTTCTGATGGGTTCCCAGCACGCCCTGGAATTAACCAGATGTTGTCTGGACTTCCTAGCCTTTTATGTAGCAGTGAATCAATTACAGTCTGAAAAAGCAGCAAAGTTGAGCTATCTTCTTTGATATTACAGCCAACCCACATATACCCTGTTTCCCCCAAAATAAGACAATCGGGCTTTTGAGCGGATGGCAATAAGGCCAAGCGCTTATTTCAGGAATCAAAAAAATATAAGACATGGTCTTATTTTCGGGGAAACATGGTAGGTGATGACTAATGGCTATATTGGAATATAGGATTTAGATGACCTTCAATTAGGTAGCCTCCATGTGATTTATCTTTAGTATTCCTGGACGTCAGTGTCTCTGGACTGGTCTTATATCTTTGCTTCAGCTTTCATTTTTTCTTCCATTTTTTTGTATTGTTATCACACTGCAGTAGCACAGAATTTGTAAAACGTAACAAAAACTGCTTCAAAATAATCTTAATTTGCTTGAATTTATGACTTCGTAAGTATTTTTGCACATGCGGGATGTTTCTGGTGCACATTTATATTTTATTAAGAAACGATAGCTAAAAACCGCCTTGAGTCTTCGGAGAATGAATGAATGAATGAATGAATGAATGAATGAATGAATGAATAAATAAATAAATAAATAGGCAATTTTGATGTGATCACAATGCTGGTTCATCAAGACTTTGGTCCCTGCTTTAGCAGCATCCAGAGGAAAGCCTCTGCATCCTTAAATTGTAGTGCTACATCTATGAATACTGTATATTTTTTTTGTTTGTGCTGTCCTTTCTTTCCATCTGATTTATAAGTTCACTTCTGATGGCTCCTTATCTTAAAAACATAGTAAGCCCTTTAAAAAAGATGATTCATTGGAAAGTAAGACATATTTTCTCCACCACCCACTTGCCTATTAGTTTTTGACATTTTCCTGTTAAAGCAGAATTATGGACCAATTGAAAACAGACTGAAAACAAACCAGTTTTCTGCCCACTGGCCTGGACGTCATCATGTCCCATTTTTGATGCTCTGCGCATGTGCGGAGGTGGCACATACGCTCACATTTGCGAACCAGTAGCGAAGGTAAGTGAACCCACAGAAAGCCCCTTGTCCTTACGAGGGAGGATTCTAGCACTTTCCTGTCAATGCTAGCTTTTCTAGCACATAAAAAAAATGGAAAGAATTTTGATCAGTAGGTTGATAACGTCAGTGAGAATAACGTCTCAGTTGACTTCAAGCAAATACAGGCCAGATATTGAACACCGGTCAATGTAATGAATATACCCATGGAATTAGTTGCAAGGATGACTCAGAAATCTTATAAAAATATAAAGTAAGGAGATCTACCCAGCTAGGATAGAGTCAATGCCTTAGGTAGATCAAATATGGACAATCATTAGGACTTTATTTACTCTGACATTAACATTTGAACGACTATAAATCCATGTATTTTGCCATACACTAAATAAATAAATAAATAAATAAATAAATAAATAAATAAATAAATAAATAAATACTCCGACATTACTATTTTTCAGTAAATGCTCAAAAAGTTTTTGTTTTAATCCAAAATTGACTACCTTCCTATATAAGAGAATATACATGTAGCTCACAGTCAAACTGATCACCTCCTTGTGGCTACTTCAGTCACAAAAAGGATTATTCAGGAAAAGGGAATGGAAATTATTTTACCATGGTCAAAATGTTCTAGTGAAAGGAATTGTGACTACTTACTTGTGTTTCAACATCTGTGAGTTTTCTTGTCTGTTCTGCTGTCTGGCTGAGAAGGCTGGTTCCTATTTCCAGCATGGTGGCTGTGTGATTTTGGACAGCGTTTTGCTGCAGCTGGGCCATTTCTGATTTCATGTTTTCCACAATGTAGTTCTCAAGCTAAAGAACAAGAGAAAAAAAAGACCATGGAAAAGTGTGTTGTTTAATGTTTTGGTTCAAGCCATGATTCATTTAAACAATGTTTGCTGAGTAAACCACAATGGCTGAGTGAGTTCCCACAATATGCTAAACCAGTGGTGAAATCCAATTTTTTTTATTACTGGTTCTGTGGACGTGGCTTGGTGGGCATGGTAGGGGAAGGATATTGCAAAATCTCCATTCCCACCACACTCTGGGGCCAGCCAGAGGTGGTATTTGCCAGTTCTCCGAACTACCCAAAATTTCCACTACCGGTTCTCCAGAACCTGTCAGAACCTGCTGAATAGCACCCCTGCCCCTAATCCTTTTTTTCACTAGACTAGATATACCCAATTCCTGCAACTGTCTTGGCCTCTGGCCTCATAATCATCTTTGTTGCTCTTCTTTGCCAGAGAGTGTAAAGTCAAAGCAGATTTCACTTGTGGCTTCCTTCTTTGTAGGACTGGCTGTGCAGAGGTGGCAAGGGGTTGGCCAAGCAATTGGCTGTAAATTCTCAGAAAACTGACAGTCACACAACTGGGCCAGTAAAAGAATCCAAAAGAATCCAATCAGTCAGTACTGTGTTGCAATGTAGGGTTTTCTAGCAGGCTTTTCTTCTGATGCAAGGAAGATGAAACTATCAGCCAAATTATCTCCTCTATATCTTCTTCTATTTCTTCAGGAAGCAATGTGCCTGAAAAAGTGAGCTAAGGTTTTAAGTCTATATTGTTTTTATTCTACAAGACTTTTTATGATTAATATCTGTGTGTGTGTCCATATTTTTATTTTGGGCTATTTGATTGTGTGGATATTCTTTTCCTCCTCCTCTTCCTCTTCCTCCTCCTCCAATATAATTTCTTTATAAAAATTAGTTACAGCTGGACTTGCTTGAAATAACTTTTTAAAAGTGGGATATTAATGGTGAATTAAGGAATTAATGCTCCATAATATATCAATTGATTTTCCTGCTACAAAAAGCAGTTCTGTTGAAAAGCATTTCTTTTTCTTTTCAATTTTTATTTATAAGTACAAACTAAACAGAACAATGAAACGTACAAAACATAAAAACATATAAACACCCATTTCAATACATGTCCAGTTTGTCGCAACTGTAATATACATTTCTCTTTGTATTTTGACTCTTCCTTATTTTGTCGTTCCCTTTTGTCTATCTACTATAGATCTTTGTTGACCTATGTCTGTTCTTTGTTTCCATCATACTATATTTGGTCATTTTGTTTACTTCCTATTGCTTCATCTCTTTCCTATCTTTCAACCAACTATACCACTTTTCCCATACTAAGTAAAAGTCATGTTCTTCCCTATTTTGTAATTCCTTTGTGAGTCTATCTAATTCCTCACATTCCATAGTTTTATTGATTACTTTATCTGGTGTTGGTATATCACTACTCTTCCAGTGTTGCGCATATAGTATTCGTGCTGCTGTTATCATATGTATAATTAAATATGTTGTTTCTTTTTCATAGTGTCCATTCACTATGCCTAGTAGGAAGATTTCTGGTCTTAGTTCTATCTCTGTTGAAAAGCATTTTTATTGTTTCCATCTAAAGCTTGAGCATCCTTTTACTTATTCTCAGAAGATAGATTTGGCTGAGGTAGAGGGGAGAGGTTAGGACTGACTTATTAGTGGTTTCATTCAATGGTTTTGAAACATGTCCATAAGATATGATATATCTAGTTTCAATTTCATTTTCTTTTCCATTAAAAACCTCAGCGCTTCCTATGAACGTTATCAGATGAGGAAAATGAAGTAAGAGAGAATTTTCCACTATCGGTTCTCTGAACTGCTCAAAATTTCTGCTACCAGTTCTCCAGAACCTGACAGAACCTTCTGGCTAAACCCAATTAAATCCCTTTATGGCTTAGTTCAATGTGTGATGGTTTTCATTTTATATTTTGGATTAAAAATTTATTTTTTTACGGAGTTCAGTGTTACAGGTAGACTTCATTGAATGAATGCAGATGATTCCAGCGAAATTCTCTCTAAGCAACAGTCAACTAAGCAAACCATGTGCTTAAGAAAAAGAGAGATGCTGCAAAGACCAGCAGTTGCTATTGTCTCATCCAGAGAAAGTGTTCCCATACAGTCCTGTGCCTGACCTGTTTGTTTTCTTTCTTTTTTGCCCCTTACAGGGAGAAGACTGCTTAAACAAGCCATTTCTTCCTCAACATTTTTTTTTTTTTTGTAGCACAGCAGATCCCTAGAAAGTACTTTTTGGGGGGCGTTAAATATTTTTTATTGTTTAATATCACATATTCCATTTCTATGTTGAACAATGTGTTTTCTAGGTGTCCAAGGTGTTAACATATAAACATCATCATCAAGATCCCTAGAAAGTACTAATTGCAAGATAAATTGCAAGATAATTGCATGACCTTACTTAATTGATTAGAACCCTCTAGCCAGCTCACAAATGCTACCTGAAACTGACCAGACCTTATTCAGTTTCACACTGAAGGCTTATGTTGTTGTCATAAATGATCCCATTGGTTGGAAAATGAACCTTTTATTACTGTTTATTATTGTCATAATGGATAGTGATCCATTATTGGCAAATGGATCTTTCCAACACAATTGTTAAGCCATACCCGTATATGGATTTTTTTTGGGGGGGAGGTTGTTTGTTTTTGATTTACTGTTTATTTTCATGCTGTACACCACCCAGAGTCGCATTCTTACTGTTGAACAACCTTATAAATCCAGTTCATAAATAAATAAATTAGAAATGTAAGATTATTTAGAACATATTTTCCAGACACTATTATATTTTGCTCCAAGGAGTAATGCAGTAGTGGGATTCAGCCAGTTCGCACCACTTTGGGATAACTGGTTGTTAATTTTCTGAGCAGTTTGGCAAACTGGTTATTGGAAGAAATCATTAGGGCAGAGAACCGGTTGTTAAATTACTTGAATCCTACCATTGGAGTAATGTATATGGTTCCTCCCATGTTATCTTGTTTACAGTTTCGTGAGATAGCCTAGACCTTAGCATGACAGAAAGTAATTGATTAAAACTGATCCAGGAAGATGTATTGATTTGTAAAGTTTTAAACCTGATTTCCCCACACATAAGAGAATTCAGAAGACAAAAAACAGCAATTTCAAAAATGAAAACAACTAAATTTATTGTATGTCAAGATTTAATTAGGCCACACCTTTAGTTGCATCACATTAGTTCTCTGACAAAATATCTAAGAACAGGGAAGCAAACGTGTGATCTCTACTCAATACCAGAATATAAAACATGCGTAAGAAACACTATAAATTATACACAAATTGTACTTGGGAAATCGCTTCAAGGATACAGATTTTCTATATTGTATTATTTCACAATTGTTAATAGAATAGAATAGAATTTTTATTGGCCAAGTGTGATTGGACACACAAGGAATTTGTCTTGGTGCACATGCTCTCAGTGTACATAAAATAAAAGATACGTTCATCAAGAATCATAAGGTACAACACTTAATGCTAGTCATAGGGAACAAATAAGCAATCAAGAAACAATATCCTTATGAATATAAATCGTAAGGATATCAGCAACAAAATTACAGTCATACAGTCATAAGTGGGAGGAGATGGGTGATGGGAACAATGAGAAGATGAGAAGATTAATAGTAGTGCAGACTTAGTAACTAGTTTGACAGTGTTGAGGGAATTATTTGTTTAGCAGAGTGATGGCGTTCGGGAAAAAACTGATCTTGTGTCTAGTTGTTCTGGTGTGCAATGCTCTATAGAGTCGTCTTGAGGGTAGGAGTTGAAACAGTTTAAGTCCAGGATGTGAAGTGTTTAGTATGAAAGAGTCTGGTCAGTAGTGTGATATAGTCTTTTATACACCTGTATGATTTTAGTATTCAGAAACAAAGTTTGATTCCCCTTGTAAAAACATCAGTTACATAAAAGCTATTCTTGTTACCATCTTGCAGATAATCAATAAAAATAATTCTCAATTTTCAACACTTCATTTAGTGACTGTTCAAAGTTACAAAACAGTGACTTATGACCACTTTTCACACTTATGACCATCATGGCATCCCCATGGTCACATGATCAAAATTCAGATGCTGGGCAACTGACTCACATTTATGACACTTGCAGTGTCCTGGGCTCATGTGATCACCTTTTGTGACCTTCTGACAAGCAAAATCAATGGGGAAACCAGATTCACTTAACTGGGAAATTGTGAGTTCTAGTTCTGCATTAGGCACAGAGCCATATGGGTGACCTTGGGCCAGTCACTTCCGCTCAGCCCTAGGGAGGAGACAATGGCAAGCCACTTCTGAAATCTTGCCAAGAAAATTGTAGATTCATCCAAGATGTTGCCAGGAGTCAAAACTGACTTAAAGGCATGTTTGTGTGTGTGCACACACTCATATACTCATACACATGGAGACACATGCACAGACAAAGGCATAAAATGGCCTGAAACTCCTCCATAAACAAATGCTGCCAACTAGGCGCCATGATCACTGGAGTGTTTGCAGATGAAGGAGCTGTTTTTGCTGTTGTGATAATATTTCTCCGGAATTGCCAGTCACAAATGAAACTATACAGGATGTGATTCACTAGGAGTTGAAGCAATGAAATGTAAGATTTTGGTTTTAATCTCACTGGGGCTGAGAATAAATACCATATCAGCCTGGGATTTAAAATCGTTAATATCAAATGTCATAATTTACAATGAAGCATGTACTATTTCAGCAAAAGAAGAATACGATAAGAGCCGGATATGCCTTGATTTAGGGACTGCGAGAGAATGCAGAAAAGCAGTATTGGATTTATACTGATTCTCCATTTTATCTTTTATCTACCTACTTCTGCAGATGACAGAAGTTACATACTTAGGAAATCCTGAGGACAAAAAGATTTGCAAGTAAAAGAAGCAGAAGGAGAGAGAAGGAGAAGGAGAAGGAGAAGGAGAAGGAGAAGAAGGAGAAGGAGAAAGAAGGAGAAAGAGAAG